CTCTCTCTCTCTCTGTTACTCCCCCAGTGTGTTGTGTTCCCCTCTCTCTCTCTCTGTTACTTCCAGCATGTGGTGTTTCCCTCTCTCTCTGTTACTCCCATGATGTGGTTTTCCCCTCTCTCTCTCTGTTACTCCCCTATTGTGTTGTGTTCCCCTCTCTCTCTCTGTTCCTCCCAGCATGTAATGTTCCCCTCCCTCTATGTTACTCCCAGCATGTGGTGTTTTCCCCCAACCTCTCTGTTACTCCCAGCATGTGGTGTTCCCCTCCCTCCCACTCTGTTACTCCCAGCATGTGGTTTTTTCCCCCATCCTCTCTGTTACTCCATGTGTTGTTCCTCTCCCTCTCCACCCTCCTGTCTGTTACACCGTATGGTGTTCCCCTCTCCCTCTCTCTCTCTGTTACTCCCGGCTGTGTGGCTGTATGGAGTTCCCACTTTGTTACTCACCAACTGAGTGGAGTTGTCCCAGAGTAGCTCAGCTATGATCTCAGGTGGAAAATCAGACGTCTTTTTGTCATTTATCTGCAGCACGCAGTCACCTCTCCTAAAATACAACCAGAGTATTGATACAGCTTCATGTCAAGTAACAGGTTAAGTCTTAAAAATACGAAGACAGCAGACCAATTTCTCGGGAATGCACAGTCACAAGACATACTGAACTATTTGGGAGCTGGTTTTGTTGTCTTGTACCTGTACTTTAATTGAAACGAGCAAAGATCGGGCTGGAATAGAAAGCTGGCCTTAGCTGATGCTTGGGCTCGTGGGACCTTTGGTAGGCTGAGCCTTAGCTTCTCAGTTCATCATTGAGAAAGGCAAAAGGGTATGGTCCAGAATGCAGCCTGTTTGCTTCCAGTTGCTGAGATTTGACATTACAATTTGAGAAAATTAATGGCCTACAGGGGACACATTTCATCCTGTTGTCTGTAGCAAAGCCTCAACAAAAGCAAAAGGAAATGGTTTCTCTGAAAGATGTGGACACCGATACTTCAACAATTACTAAACATTTACCAAAAGCAGTTGTTAAAGTCGGGAAAGCACAAATATCAGATGAGGAATATGACGTTGATATGGGGATTCAGCCACAACTATAAGGTATTCTGGCTCAGTGGTTAGTTCTGATGCCTCACAGCACCTGGGTTTCACTTGGGTAACTGTGTGTACAGTTTGTACGTTCTCCCTGTGCCTGTGTGTGTTTCCTCTGGGTGCTCTGGGTTTCCCCCCATGCTTGGGAAATCGAGGACTAGAGGGCATCAGTTTAAGGTAAGAGGGGAAAGAATACATGGGAACCTGAGGGGCAACTTTTTTACACAGCGGGTGGTAGGCATATGGAATGAGCTGCCAGCGGGCGTGGTTGAGGCAGGTACATAAACAACATTTAAAAGGCATTTGGACAAAAACGTGGATAGGAAAGGTTTAGAAGGATATGGGCCAAGAACAGGGAAATGGGGTTCGCGTGGATGCCCATTTTGGTCGGCATGGACCAGTTTTGGGCTGAAGGGCCTGTCTCCGTGCTGTAGGACTCTATGACTATGTGCAGGTTTGATGGATTGGCCATGCTAAATTGCCTGTAGTGTCCTTGGATGTGTGGGCTAGATGTACTTTCCGTGGGAATTGCAGGATTACAGGGATAGGGTAGAGGGGTGGATCTGTGTTGGATGTTCTTCAAAGGGTTGGTGTGGTCTCAATGGGCCGAATGGCCTGCTCCCACACTGCAGGGATCCTACCATATTGAATGGTAGTGGTCTGTTCCTGCTCCTAGTGTCAATGCTTCTACCACAAGAAAGTTGAATTGAAGGCTTGTGGGAGATTACAAAGAAAAGGAGCAGGATGTGGGAAGAGATAGAGGGGTTTTGAAAACACGGCTGAGAATTTTATATCAATTGACAATTAAGACCACACCTTCCGGGGTTAGAGCAAACAGCATGTGCCATCAGAACCTCCTGCTGGTTCATAAAGAACTAGGAGCAGGAGTGAGCCATGGCTGGCCTTCTAGCTTTTCTGATGAAGGGTCTAGGCCCGAAACGTCAGCCTTTCTGCTCCTATGACGCTGCTTGGCCTGCTGTGTTCATCCAGCTCTGCACCTTGTTGACACAGGACATGCAGGTTAGATTATTGAAGCCATTGCTGTGAGACAAGAGGAAGGGGAATATGTGGTGCCTTGACCCGTAAACTCAGAGGAAGAGCATTCGGAATTTGTTCTGAACAGTGTCACAGACCCACCTGATTATACTGCCCACTATCGATTCATCCAGAAACAAAAAACTGCACAGAAACCTTCCTTTCTCCATCACCTTGCTAACTCTGCTCTCCTGTTGCCTCCTCTCAACCTTTCTGACATGAAAAAAGTCCTGGACTTTCAGGTCTGTGGCCGCTCGGACTCTCCGTGTGAACATAGGTTCAGTGAACGGTGACATAGTTGGGTGGGGGGGTGCTAGTGTGGGCCAGCAGATATTTGTTCAATCTCTAGTTCACAAGGTTTCACCCAATGCAACCCTATAACCCAGTGACATCAACAATCCTGAAGCTGTGATTTTTCAAAGCTTTAGCAATAGAATGGAAACCAAAATAAGGCAAATTCTATAAGATCAGAGAATGCCTATTGAGAGGATCTTTGCAGATACAACCAGAGGCTCTGTTACCGTGAGGACTCTGTGTGTGTGTAGGGTTAGGTCTTTGGCTTTATTCCAACAAGGTAGAGTAAGTGAGTAATGCTCCCTGTTGCCTGCCACTCTAACACACCACCCTGTTCCCTGGCCAACATCTCTGTCTCAGGTTTGCTGCAATGCTCCAGCAAAGCTCAACGCGAGCTGGAAGAACAGGACCTCATTTTCTGTTTGGGAACTCCACAGCCTTCAGGACTCACGATCAAGATTAACAATCATGTCCTTGCCCCAATCCCCACACACATGGGCTATTACCACAAACAACTTCCCCATGGTACCCAGCTGGTCTCACTCTCCAGCTCTATCTCCATAGCCCTCTAACTGCATCGTTTTCAAATATATATATATCTCTTTTGAAACCTCCTATCAAATCTGCCTTCACCAGTCTCCCAGGTACTGCATTCCAAATCCTAACAACTCTGAGTAAAGAAGGCTCTCCTCAGCTCATTCCTAGCTCACCTGCTGAGAGTCTTGAAGTTGTGACCTCCCAGTTACTGACATACTAACTAGTGAAAACAGAATATCCTTCTTTACCCTGTCAAAATTGTTCGTAACTTTGAACGCCTCAATAAGGTCACCTCTTAATCTTCTCTGTTCCAAGAACTAGCCCAAACTCTCTAATCTTTCCTTGTATCCAAAATCTCCGTCATTCCTGGTGTCATTCTACTCAATCTTTGAACTTTCTCCAGGGCGTTAACATCCCTTAACATCATTTGGTAAGATGGTGGTGGAGTAGAGCTTCTGAGACAAGTTCTGTCCGCATTTCTTTTCATTTCTTTATTCCTCATTTTTAAAAAAATTATTTTTTTTTCCCTCTTTTATTTTACTTACCCCTTGCTGAAGGGCTCGGTTGTGGTGATGCCATCTGTGAGTAGGCCCAGGAGTGTGCTAGTGGCATCAGAGGATAGCTTTTGTTCACGAGGAAGCCTTGGCCCGGTACGAGGCCCTGGCAAGGTAGGCCCGAAGCAGACTCCTGGTGGTGGCAGATTCGGGTTTGGGCCAGTGCGGTGCTCGATGGTCTCCGCGTTGGCGAGGTCCAGTGAGGACTCATAGTGGTCAGGGCGTGGGTGGAGGCAAGATGGCGCCGAAGCGAGATGACTTTCGTTCCCGTGGTGACGGCGCGGTGAAGGGGAATTGTGCCCGGCCCCCAGGCCCATGGCCCATGGCACAGCACTTAATGAGAAGGACTGTAAAATTTGAACACTTTCTCTTCATTTCTTCATCCTTCTGCCTTTATACTCTATGCTTTGGCTTATTTTTTCTGTGTTTTAGGGTGGCACCAGAGAATGGCGTCACCATGGAACATTTTCCACCATGTTTTGTGACAAAATACAGGTCACGGTAAATCAAATCAAATCAAATCCTTTCTTAAATAAGGTGTCCAGAGCTGAGCGCAATTCTCCAAATGTGGTTTGGCCACTGCTTTGCCAGGTTGCAGCATCACTTCCTTCCCTGCTCCCCAGCCTGTCTATCACCTCCTGAATTGTGTTACTGCACTCCTCAATAATTTACTACATTTCTGACACCCACGTTATTTCTCAACTTGAAACTTAAGCTCCGTACACCCAGTTATTTGCGGTTATCAACAATGACAGTGTTCCAATTACCCAACCCCGTGGATAGCCACATATTCTAGGAAGAATCAAAATCATTTTGGTCAAATCCTTTGATAATTCAAACCTTCCCATAACTATCCATGTTGTGTTTCATCAAGAAGGATTCTACATTTCGTCTTTGAGTACCACCAGTTATTTAAAAATTCCGCATCACTGATAACCTTTTCCTCTGTTTTCATTGGGCTGGATTCATTGAAATTTGCTCTCCTCTAGCTGACTTTTCTTGCTGCATTTCCATAACTGTTGCCAACCCCTACGGACGTTTGGAATACACTTCCCAATGGAAACAGTTTCAACTATCCTACTTCATTCCTCAGGACTGGAGCTAGCTTCTCCTCTGGTATGGAACCAGACTGATCCAGAAAGCTATCCTATATGCAGCTGAGAAAGCCCACTCCCTCATTATCATTTACATGGTTTTCCCCTAAGCCTGTACTAATATAATTGACATTCCCATTGGCACAAATGTCTACCTTTCTAAAATCTGCTCCTCTACCTCCTCGCTACCATTTGCTTTCCTATAATGAATGCCCAGCTCTTCTCCACAGTCGAAGCAAAACAGATTCTTTCTTTGAACCATCAAATAACATCATCGCTTTCCCAACTGCTTAGCAGTATTTTTGATCAGATTTAATGTTTAAGCTGTTGTCTGTGCCAGGTTTTCATTATTCCCGTGATATCCCGACTACATATGGTGACTTGCGCCTATAACTCACCAACCTTCTTAACTCTCCTCAGCTCCTAATGTACAGCCTGCTTGACATGTGTTACAAAGTGCTCCCTTCCCTGTATGATACCTCCTGCTTCTGGTCTACTTTTTGTACCCATGCTGTTTGTCTCTTCTTGTAATACGTTTGCCAAATTGGTATGGTGCAGAAAGAGGCCATTCATGTCTGCACTAAACCCTCTGAGCATTTCAACTTAGTGCCAATCTCTTAACTTTGCCCGGTAACTGTGCACACTGTTCCTATACGGGCATTTTGTGCCACATTTCTCCATCCTGATGCCCAACCCTTGCCAGATTGTTTCTAACCCTTGCCCACCGAACCAGATATTAATCACACACAAGCAAGACAGTTTGGTACTAGGTTTATGGATACAGCCTTACAAATCTTTGACTCCTAACCAGCTGGCTCCTTTTATCTATTCTCTTGGCCAGAGGACAAAATAATCCCTTTTTTCACAAACGTTCTTCATGAAGTTTCTGTCAAGGATGTCTTTTTGATTTTTGGGGATATGTCTCGCTTTCCAGGGGCAGCTTTTTTTCATTCTGACCTATCTGTTTGTTAGAAGCTGTAGTCATGTTGGCACGATGCCTTCTGTATTTGTGTTGAGGAATGGGGAATTTGGATTCACACTGAAACAGTATGGGAAGAAATCATCAATATCCTCAACAACCATCAACCCTTTGCTAAACGTAAAGCAACAGCACACAAAGGGAAGCCTTAATTTCTTTGACATCACGGTATTCAAATTGGCACAAGATGACTGACACTTTAGCAACAAAAGTTGTTCACCAAAATATCTGTGCACGCAGTTCTACGCACAAAAAGCCATCACCCCCACCCCGGTTATTCTCTCTTCTACCCTCTCCCACCAAGCAGAAGATAAAAAAGCTTGAAAACACATACCAACAGATTCAAGAACAGCTTCTTCCCCACTCTTATCAGATTTATGAAGGGACCTCTCATACATTAGACTTTATCTTTCTCTGCACCTTCTCTATGTTCTGCATTCTGTTCTAATACCCTGACATACTTATGCAAGGTCTGATTTGCCTGGATAGCACTCAAAACAATACTTTTCACCGTATCTCGGTATGTCACAATAATAAATCAAATCCAATCATCCTACCACACACTGTTGAGGTCACAACAACTTGTGTTTCCATCATTCTTTTTCACTGGAGGTTGAGAGTGACCTTATGAAGGTGTATAAAATCATGAGGGTACTGATGGGATGAATATTAAGGGTTTTTTTTCCCTAGGGTGGGGGATTTCAAGACTAGAGGGCATATTTTTAAGGTGAGAGGAGAAAGATTTAAAAAAGACATGAGGGGCAATTTTTCTTTTGTACAGAGGGTGGTTTGCATGTGGAATGAACTTCCAGAGGAAGTGCTAGATGTGGGTACAGTTACAATGTTTAAAAGACATTTGGATAGATACATGAATAGGAAAGGTTTGGGGGGATATGGGCCAGGAGCAGGCAGGTTGGACTAGTTTAGTTTGGGATTATGATCGGCATGGACTGGTTGGACCGAAGGGTCTGTTTCCATGCTGTATGACTCTAGGACATAGTACAAAGCTAGAGGATTTTAACCAGGCAGTCACTACCCTTTTAAAAACCAAAAGAACTGTGGATGTTGTAAATCAGGAACAAAAACAAAGTTGCTGGAAAAGCTCAGCAGGTCTGGCAGCATCTGTGGAGAAGAAAACAGAGTTAACGTTTCGGGTCCGGTGATGCTTCCTCAGAGCTGCCCTACCCTTTTCTACCCTACCCTGTCACTACCCTTTTCTCAGACTTAAAGTTAACAATCCACAAAACTCATCATAATCACTAGAGAGCCCATTAGCAGCAAATACAAGAGAGAAGCAGCCTGTGCTTAGAGCAATTCTGTCCATTCCACTTACAGGGTGACTTCTCTCCAATTGATACCTCTGTGACTGTGCTCTCCTCTTTCTTTAGGGGATGAATTTGCCAGTGGCCCTGGGCAAAGACCTCAAACCGTGTAAAAACTTTCCCAAAATACGGTGCCACTATTGAAGATGACGCAGTGCGGAGCTGGAGGAACACAGCAGGCCAGGCAGTGTCAGAGGAGCAGGAAAGTTGACGTCTCGGGTCGAGACCCTTGTTCAGAAAACGCCAGCTTTCTTGCTCCTCTGATGCTGCCTGGCCTGCTGTGTTTTTCCAGCTCCACAATGTGTTATCTCCGACTCCAGCATCGGCAGTTCTTACTATCTCTGAGTGAGCCACCATTGAAGGTGGCTGGTTGAAGTAACTGATAACAGATGAAAACTTAAGAACATCGCTTCATCCTTAAATCAAACAATGCCCAACACTTATGTATCTTTCAAGACATTAACCAACCATTAACACCAGTTAACGTCCCCCCGTGAGACTATTTGTCCCCGTCTTGTTCAGCTACAACCCTTTTGCTGTGTCTTTTCCAGTGGAGGGAGAGTCATTGTAAGCAAAGATGCAACCCTTTACAAATTTCTGGTTAGATCCGTGCCGGGGTTATGTCACCGTTTCTGGGAGCCACATCTGAGGAAGGACAGTAAGGCTTTGGAGACAAGTAAATGGGAGATTTTCACAGAATAACCCCAGGGATAACAGACTACAGTTAGCTGCAGAGACTGCAGAATCTGTGACGTAGTCTCCCAAGCAAAGGAGACAGAGAATGACACAATTGTCATAGTAGAGATGAAAGCCATTCAGCCTGAGTGGGCATCCCACCTAACTGCCATTGTCCAACCTTCTCCTCATATCTTGGCACACAGTCTTCCTTTGCAAATAACAATGCACATGCCTTTCTCAAGAAAAGACCTTTTGTGGCACCTGTAAATCTTTCTGTTAACGGTCAACTTGTTAGCTGGACAGAAATCAAACTCTCCTTCTCATCCACATCGCCAATCTTGCCTGCTTTGGATAGGACACAACATTTTCACACCCATTCTCTTTAGTAACGAAGATAGTGACTGCCCATGCCTCTATGGTATGTGTCAGTGACAGTGCTCGATTGAACTGGCTTCAAACCCACCAGAAACTCTAGGGTAAGGCTTGAAATGGAAAGCCTCAGCTGTTCTCTTCAACTACCGCCACGCTTCTGGGATTCGGGCTGGGATTCGGTGGAGAGTTGGGGAACTCAAAAAGGCCAAGTTCAGGACAAAAGTCAGTCAATCTTTATAAAGATTTTTTATGAAGAAGGGTCCAGACCCGAAACGTCAGCTTTCCTGCTCCTCTGATGCTGCTTGGCCTGCTGTGTTCATCCAGTTCTACACCTTGTTATCTCAATCTTTATAAAATCCAGTTGTAACCTTAAAAAGCTTGGGATGATCCCGTTGCCTGAAATTATTACTGTCCTTTTGTAAAATATTATTTTTAAGAAAATTTGACGTCTTTGCCAGAGAAACTATATTAAGTTTGTGAGAAAAAAACTGAAAGAACTGCGGATGCTGTAAATCAGAGACAAAAATAGAAGTTGCTGGAAAAGCTCAGCAGGTCTGGCAGCATTGGTAGAGAGAAATCAGAGTTAACTTTTCGAATCAAGTGACCTTCTTTCCCAGCAATTCCTATTTTTGCCTTAGATTTGAGATATTTCTACAGGCATCCCGCACTACGTCGCTAAAATATATAACTTCATTTCAAACAATTTATCATTTTAAAAGGTTAGCACACATTCTGAGATGCATGTTTTAGCAACAGGTCAAATTCGCTGCTTCAGATGTAGCAGCAAGTGATTTGCAAGCGGCGTCAGCGTATGCATCTTTAAATAAAGAAGCCATTTTCGCAATGATCAAATCAAATCTGAATTTCATCCTGCCAAATACAAACTCTCCCCCACCCCGTTGCCTCAGTGGTTGTACTGGAAGGTGAGTGAATGGTTTGTACCTGAACGGGGAGCAGGCGCTTTTGCAATGGAGGACATCTTGCACTTCGTAATGGTGTTTCCCCTCCAGGGCTTGATGCTTGATGACGACTCCGCCTTTCAGGTAGTGAGACATCTTTATCAACGAGAGAACAATTACAGCGCCCTAAAACCAGAAATTCCCTTCACTCACTAAGACCACTGAGGGTTACTGCTAACAATGCGACTTAACTCTACAGCACTCACGCTCTCCTCAGCCTGCCTGGCTCCTGCTTGATTGGACCTGAAGCCAAGCTTGCTTTTTATCTAGAAACACTGCATGCAATCTCCCCCATGTGACTGGGACTCTTCTGAAGTCGTGGGATTTCACTTCTGCTTTAGAAATTTTTGTTTCATTAAAAAAAAGTCCTCGGATGACCTATTGTGTCACCAGTTCTACGCTAAAACCAAGACAAAGCAGGATTATGGGTTCAATTTTTTTTAACCCTCAGGTGAATGCAGCAGAATGCAGCAATATCTGCTTCGTTTAATATTTCCAACCCAGCATGCACGTAGTTGCTCCCATTTTTGCTTGACCAGCGATCATTATGGGATGTCATCACTTCCTCCTTTGTCAAAAACCTCTCTGCACAATTTGTAAAGTGACAGTGAGGGCGGAAATTTCCCTGCTCCTGCTGTGGTGCAGTGGGGGAGAAGGTGGGAAGGTACAGAAAGAATGAATTACATCTCAATCTTGATATCCAGGGAAATGTTGACAATTCTCCACTCAAGGCTTCAATGCAGCCTTTGGAATCTTGCCATTGAGCAGTGACCACATTATTTCCACAAATTTACATTTCATCAAATTGCCTCATTGCTCGGTCACTTGCAATTTTCCTCTGGTTCCCCAGGAAACCAGATTGTGCTAATCCCCAACAAAAGAGCCAGGGCAGGAATGGGCAGCTAACTGAATGTTTGACCAGGCCATCATTAAAGCTGCTTCTTCCCCCATGCCAACATGCTCCACGACCACCACATGCCAATGTCTCCACCCACACCCGCCTTGACTCTTCGGTAACAGAAGTTGGCATCGACAAACCACGAGCCTCGCCCATATCCCTCGCCCGACTCTCGGACCATTTCTCACACCATGGAGTCTGTGAGTCAGAGAGCATGGAATCAGGCCCTTCGGTCCAACTCATCCGAGCTGACCAGATATCCCAATCTGACCTAGTCCCATTCGCCAGCAGTTGACCCATATCCCTCCAAACCCTTCCTATTCATACACCCATCCAGATGCCTTTTAAATGTTGTAATTGTACCAGCCTCCATCGCTTCCTCTGGCAGCTTGTTCCATACACGCACCACCCTCTGTGTGAAAATGCTGCCTCTCAGGTCCCTTTTAAATCTCTTCCCCTCTCACCTTAAACCTATGCCCCTCTAGTTTTGGATTCTCCTGCTCCGGGGCAGAAACTTTGGCTATTCACCCTATCCATACCCTTCATGATAGCTAGAAGTAGGAATGATGCGTTGTAAAGAGAATTTAAAACATTGGGGTGAAAATAAAAATGCAGAACACCAAAGTAATCATCTTTGGAATGTTACCTCAGCCATGCAGCTATTGGTTTAGGATTATGCAGTTTAAATTGAACTTTCAAACAGGAAATATGAGGGTATGAGAAGCTAATTGGGATGGATTTTATGGGGGGACATTACCAGATGGCTCGACAGTGGATAAGCAATGGTTCATATTTAAAGTTTGTGTGCATGATTTACAAATATTAAGCATTCCTGTCTGGAGCAAAATTAAGAACTGGAACCCATTGATACTCTGCAGCTTAGGGGCATGTGTGCATGCTTTGGGTAGTCGCTGTAAGTGCAGGAGCACACACACATATCAGGCATCAACACAGGACCCCTGTTTACAGCCCTTTGCTGTGCTTGCTCCCTTTAGAGTAAGTTGAAGGGTCTGTGTGGATCATAGTGCATGCACACACACGCGCGCGCGCACACACACGCACACTTGCACACACAGACATGCACATGCACACACACACTTGCACCTACTCACACGCGCACACACACACATGTTTGCGCACACACACTCGCACGCATTCACACACACACACATACTCATACACAGATACACTCCCTTCCCCACTCCCACACGCACACACTCTTTCCCACACACACATGCACTCATACGCGCACACGCACTCTTTCCCACACACACACTCTCACACACAAACACATACACACACACACACACACGCACACGCACACGTGCACACACACGCAAGCACACACACACACACATACACACACACACACACACCAATCAGTTACAGACTGCTTGTCTCTTTGACTGTGGCTCTGCAGCTTGTGACCATAGGGAGTACTGAGTAGTGAGACAGGTTGGACATGTTGCTGTATGGCACTGTGCTACATCAATGTCACATTGCAGCCTGGACAAAAAAACACACTGCATGTGCTTCATGCAAATCAGAGAATCCCTACAGTGTGGAAAGAGGCCATTCAGCACATCAGGTCTGCACTGACCCCTCAAAGAGCATCACACCCAGACCTACCCCCACACCATATCCCCATAACTCCACATTTCCCATGGCTAATCCATCGAGCCTGCATATCTCTGAACACTGTGGGCGATTTGTCACAGCCAATCTACCCTAACCTGCACATCTTTGGATTGTGGGAGGAAACCGGAGCACCCAGAGGAAACCCACGCAGACACAGGGAGAACGTGCAAACTCCACACAGAGACAGTCGCCCGAGGCTGGAATTGAACCTGGCTTGGTGGTGCTTTAACAGATGGTGAATGTTTAAAAATGATAAAAAGGGTCCAATTGACAGTAAAGTAACTTCAATGGTAAACGGAACATGCCAGTAATGTCAAAATGGCATGTGTATATGACAATATAATTTAGAGAGAACTTGCACTTCACTCAGCATTGTAATCACAACTAAAAGCATAGCAACCTTTTATGAATATATTGTACAGAGACTACAACAGCAAAAGGAAGTATGTTCAGAATCAAATCCTCTTGCTGACAATATGATAAACAGTGTCTGATAGTTTACATAAAATGCTGCACTGTGTGTTTTCAGAAGACAGGGAAATTTAATGCCAGCTTTATACTGAGAGAAACATATGGCCATTACCATAGAGTGCATGTTGTAGGAAAAGGAGAATGACTTTACAGAACAACGATACAGATCACAGTGAGGTCACACATCACAGTTCAATCAGATATTACAATGTTCTCTGCCCCACTCTACAAGGGACTGACTTCAGGACAAATATCTAACATCGACACAGCGAGATTCAAACAGTGAGACAACAAGGTGCAGGGCTGGATGAACACAGCAGGCTAAGCAGCATCATAGGAGCAGAGAGGCTGACGTTTCGGGCCCAGACCCTTCATCAGAAAATCTGAATCTGAGATTCAGACAGTGTCCAGTCCAGTCCGGCAAGACTGCTTGGAAAAAAAAAATCACAACCTGATGGTAAAATAGGAGCAACATGTGGATATTTTAACACGGTCACCCTGTCCCCATGGGAACACTGTCACCCTGTCCCCATGGGAACATTATCACCCTGTCCCCATGGGGAACACTGTCACCCTGTCCCCGTGTGGAACACTGTCATCCTGACCCCATGGGGAACACTGATGCCCTGTCTCCTTGAGGAACACTGTTACCCTGTCCTGACGGGGAACACTGATACTCTGTCTCCATGGGGAACACTGTCACTCTGTCACCGTTGAAACACTGTGACCTTGTATCCATAGGGAACACTGTCACATTGTCTCCATGGGGAGAACTGTCAATCTGTCCCGAAGGGGAGACCTGTCACTCTGTCCCCATGGGGAACACTGTAGCCCTGTCCCCGTAGGGAACACTGTTGTCCTGTCCCCATGGGGAACATTATCACCCTGTCCCCATAGGGAACACTATCATCCTGTCCCCTGGGGAACACTGTCACCCTGTCCCCATGGGGAACACAGTCACCCTGTCCCCATGGGTAACACTGTCACCCTGTCCCCATGGGGAACACTGATGCTCTGTCCCCATGGGGAACATAATCACCCTGTCCCCATGGGGAACACTGATGCCCTGTCCCCATGGGGAACACTTATGCCCTGTCTCCATGGGGAACATTGTCACCCTGTCCCCCTGGGGAACACTGTCACCCTGTCCCCATGGGGAACACTGTCGTCCTGTACCCCCTGGTAATACTGTCACCCTGTCCCCATGGGAACACTGTCACTCTGTCTCCTTGAAGAACTCTCTCACCCTGTCCTGATGGGGAACAATGATACCCTGTCTCACTGTCCCCATGGGAACACTGTTGTCCTGTCTCCATGGGGAACACTGTCACACAGTCCCCATTGGGACACTGTCACCCTGTCCCCGTCAGGAAAACTGTCACCCTGTCTCCATGGGGAACGCTGTCACCCTGTGCCTTCGGGAACACTGTCACACTGTCCCTGTGTGTATTAATGTTGATCTGTCCCCATGGGGAACACAATCACTCTGTCCCTACAGGAATACTGTCATCCTGTCCCCATCAGGAACACTGTCACCCTGTCCCCAACAGAAACACGGTTGCCGAGCCCCCAACAGGAACACTGTCACCCTGTCCCCGACAGGAACACTGTCACCCTGTCCTCTCGTAACACTGTCTCACTGTCCCTATGGGAACACTGTTCCCTTGGGCGAAACTGTCACCTTGCCTCCATGGGAAACACTGTCACCCTGTCTCTATGCAGAACACTGTCACACAGTCCCCATGGGAACACTGAACACAGCAGGCCAGGTAGCATCAGAGGAGCAGGAAAGCTGATGTTTCGGGTCTGGACCCTTCTTCAGAAATTGCAGAGGTTGGGGGGTGGGGAGGCGGAATATGATTTGTTGCTCCTCTAGTTTGCGGCTCCAGCCTCATCCCATGACCACCCATCCCTCTCATCCCCGCCTCGACCTGACACAGCCTGTCCATCTTCTCCCTCACCTATCCGCTCCTCCCAACTCACTGACCAATCCCCACCACTGCCTACCTGCACTCACCTCTCACCATCCCACCTACCTTCCCCAGCCCCGCCCCTCCCTCTCGATTTATTTCTGAGCTCCCTTCCCCTC